TGCTTCGTCCGGGCGGCGTAGTTATGGATGACAGAAGAAAGCTTCACCATCAGGCCCTTTCCAACTCCATGCTTAGTTGGGAGCTTCTGAGCCGCCTTAACCTTCTTCCTCCCCGCGTCGCTGCCCTCCACCTTCTTCTTGGTGGATGACTTCTCTACCTTTTCTTGCTGAGATTGAGCAAGAGAAGGTGTAAACGAAACAACCTTGATACCGTATTGACCTGAAACAACAAACACAAACTTTAGGTAACCGTCACAAGATAGAGTCAAAACGAGGCGTGGAAAGAAAGAGAAACTCACCCGACTGAATGCGAGGAAGAGCACGATGGATTCACTGACTCAAGAAATTCGGCCACCACTGAGGTCCAAACGAAAGCAATCTGTCTCTCAGTTCGGTAAATCCCTTCGCAAAACGATGAAGCCCCCAAGGACGAATTGTAAAATAAAAAAAAACAAATCAGGCGCCCGTGCCGATCAATCTAAGAAAAACACAAGGGCAAAATATATACCAATCTCGCTGTTCCATCCGGCTCGGATTTCCCAGTCCAGATTCCCAACCGAGGCCTGATCGAACTTCACAAAGAAATAACGAGCGTTCCAATCGGCAGTCTTATTTCCTTTGGAGCACTCGATGAAGGATTCCTTCATGCTAAGATGGAAACGATCTCCTTTGGCCGTTTTTCGAGTGATCTTCGTCAGCTCCTCAAGGGCATCAGCGTAGAGTTTCCGCCCGAGCTCAGCTGCCATTACCATTAGCCCGACCAGATTACGGATGGATGCGATCGTCAACTGAGACATCGTAATCTACCTCCGAGCATAGTATTCGACCAAAAGCCATGGAAGAGGGACTCATAGAGACACACCCGAAGGAGGATTCCTTGGTCGATCGCTGCTCTTCGGGAAAAGGAAAGAGATGCCCGACGGGATGTGATACCCTCTCCGAAGATTACTGAGCGTATCCGCAGTAGATTTCGTCCCCTCATCATCATGACGCTCGAGAATAATATCAGAAGCGAGCCCAGGACCCAGATGACAACCATAGTCACCGAGATCGTCCAACTCAAACTGGGAGGTCTGGTACCCAGTATCAGGCGAGCTAGGTCTGAGAGCCAAACTCTTGCCAGCGCCATGTCTCGCCGGAGGAAGAACCACGCTCGGAGAAGGAAGTGAGCTCAACACAGCACATGAGCTTATCAAAAGAGGTCGATCCGAGCTCGAGGCAACCCCGCCCAGGTTAGCGGTCGGGTCTCGCTGATTCTTCCGAATCAGCGAGATCGGGGTCAGAAGAAGAAGCCTCGGGAGATTTAGTGCCCCACGGAGGAGAATATTCTAAACTCGGAGAATTGCCGGAGTTAATCGAATCAGACTCTTCGCGATCGTTTGAATTAGAAGACATGATGAAGAGACAGTCGAAAAACCCAGAAAATGGACTTGGAAAAGAAGAAGAATCGACCAAGAGAACCTGAAGATCTAGTGGGGAAATCCGAAGCCGAGCAGAAAAATCGAGAAAGAGGTTAGAGAGGAATACCTTTGTCCGGAGAGATCGAAAAGCAGATAGAGGAAATGAAGGTTCGGATCTCGCCTAAATAGACCTAGCTCAGAAAACAAAAGGTCGCCTCTTGAGATTCATGCACCGCTTCAAAAGAGCCAATTAGAAGCGAGCAGACGATGAGCCGAAGGAAATATGGCCTCCAAACTACATCGACGAGCCCACCAACCAACACGCTCGTCGACTGGGGGGCTATTGTTGGGCATAGGCCTTATAATTGACAAATTATAAAGCCCATCTCGCCGAGTTCAAGTCCCAAGGAAAACCCTACATAAATGCACCTTCTCAATCTAGTATAAATAGGGGTTCCCCCACCTTCTATTATCCATGAGTTATTATCTTTTGGAGAGACAGTACAAGGGATCTGAAGGATCAACGGTTTTTATGACTCTAACTCACCCAAAAAAAAAAATAATTCTGTCCGTACATTCTGCCGGAATCGTACAAAGATCGTTAAAGAAAACGGCTTGCAGAATCCGATCACAGTGCTCTTACCACCCAGTTCCCGATCTCACTTACTTATTACCCAGTTCCCGATCTCACTACACTTGCATACTACTCAGTCTCCGACTTCAGAACACCGATCACGCCGATCTTGTTACTCAGTAAATCTGCGAAGCACAAGGTTTGTCAGCTTATAAGCTTTCGAGCTCAACACCTTTTACATTCGTTACTCCTTATTTGTATACTGCCTAACCCATTTCCGACCACGTTATCAATAAACGAGAATGTCCGAGCCTCTTACTATTTAATAAATATATTGTCGAACTCATGTATCAACATTCTTCTTCCAATTTCCGATCAGAAATTCCAATGGAGTCGATCACCACTCCCCAAACCATCATCGTCCCGTAAAACCTTAATCGTCACCGTATCCGTCGTTTCCCTCCTCTTAATCCTCGCCGTAACCGCCGTCCTTCCCACCCTCCTCCTCTCGTCGAGTCACTCAAAGTAGTCTGCGCCGTGACTCGTTACCCAAACACTTGTTTCGATTCTCTCTCTCCCGATCTCCGTAAACTCGACCCTGAGTCAGTCCGAGTCACTTCTGAAATGGTATCGAAGCTCTCGATATCTTTCCGATCAATCGACGATATGCCTGAGGAAGCGTCGGCGATCGGTGACTGCGTGAAGCTATACAACGATGCGCTGAGTCAACTCAACGAGTCCATGTCAGAGATCAAAACGGAGAAGAACAAGGGAGGGAATTGGTTGAATAAAAATGTCATCGGAGACGTCAAGACGTGGATTAGCACCGCCATGACCGACGTTGAGACTTGCCCCGATGGGCTTGAAGAAATTGTGGGGAATGAGACCAAGAAAGAGATGGAGACGGCGAATCAGATGATGAGTATTAGTTTGGCCATTGTTAGCCAAATGAAGAAGCTTATCATGATTCTTCACTAAACCAAAACACACAAATGAAAAAGGTTTTTTTTCTTTTTTCTTTCTCAATTTCGAATTCACATGTGTGTTCTTGCTCTGTAAGTAATAACCTAGGAAGCACGGGGACATCAATTTTGTCACCGTACCCGTACCGGGAACGTTTCGGGGACAGGATCAGTTCGGGGACTGCATGGGGACGTTTTGGGTAAACTGGGGACGTGAGCTAATATCGGGGACGTGGAGTTAATATATGGGGACGTTTCAGAAACTTTATAGATCTAAAATTGGTGTCCCCAATGTATGTATATGTGTATTTAACTCATTTTTAAAAAGAATAAAATAAAAGAAGGTGAAAAG